TTCTGCCCACAGATGTTTTGGAGAATAGGTTGGCCCGCCTTTTCTCTGTGGCAGTCCCTCAAGTCCTGGAAGGCTGCAAATATTTCACCCCTAGTCCTTCTCTTTGTTAGGCATATCTAGTTTTCTCAATCATTTATCATATCCAGATGCCTTGTCATCTTTGTTGCTGTTCTCTGATTTCATTTTATGGTTTTAGCATCTTTTTTGTATCATAAGTGACCAGAATTGGATGCAGTATTCCAAGTGTGGTCTTACCAGTACAGTATAAAGAGGTACTATCACTTCAGATGATCTTAATATTATCCCTCTGTTGATGCAGTCTAGGACTGCAATGGCTTTTTTGGAAGCTGCAGCACAGTTGCTGACTCATACTTAAGTGGTAGTAAACTAGGATACCTAGATCCATCTCACAGTTACTACTGTTGAGTCAGGTACCATATACCTGTGCATTTGGGAGGGGGGTTGCCTATGTGGAGGATCTTACTTTTCTCACCATTGAATTGCATTTTGTTGGATTGGGCCCAGTGTTCAAGTCTGTCAAAATCCTTCTGAATCTTGAGTTTATCTTCCAAAGTGTTAGTTATTTCCCCTAACTTGGTGTCATCTGCAAATTTAATGAGTTGCTCTTCTATCCTCTCATCTAGATCATTTTATGAACATTTTGAAAAGTACTGGGCCTAAGACAGAACCCTAAAGTACCTCACTACATGCTTCCCTCCATGCAGATGTAGTTCCATTAAGGACTACATGCTGAATGTGGGTGGTTAGTGGACTGCAAATTCATCTATCTAGCATGATCTATTCTTAATAAACCATGTTGGCTTTTACTAATCACCTTGCTCAATTTTAGGTGCTCACAAATCTGCTGCTTATCTTTTCTAGGATTTTACCAGGTATTAAAGTCAGGCTGATTGGTCTGTCATTTCCAGGATCCACTTTTCCCCCTTTTTGATGATAAGAAGCACCAGCTCTTTTCTGATCTTCTGTGTTCCAAGAGCTCTGAAAGATTTGGTATAGTGGTTCCAAGATCACATCTGCCAGCTCCTTCAGAACCCTGGGACGTAATCCATCTGGTCCTGGCTATTTGAACTCATCTAGAGTGGATAGGTGTTCTCCTACCACAGTGATGGCGAACCTTTTAGAGACCGTGTGCCCAAAACCCGCCCCGGCCCACCCCTGCTCCGCCTGCCCACCCGTCCTGCTCCGCCCTCACCCCGCCCCCCCCTCAGGGCCATCCACGGCCTGTCGCAGATCGCCCAGGCGGCCCTGCAGCACCATGGTGGCCACGCCCTCCGCCCACGCCCAGCAGCGTCATCTGCTGCCCAGCTGCCATTGCTTGGCTGCACCCAGGGGTGACTCTCCTCTGGGGGGGCTGCTGGTGAGGAGGGGGCTGCGGGGGGAGGCAGGGCTGGGGCAACAGCATGCGTGCCCACAGAGAGGGCTCCGAGTGCCGCCTCTGGCACTCGTGCCATAGGTTCGCCACCACTGTCCTACCATATTCTTGCCTATTTTGACTTGCATTCCTGTTCTGTCTCCTATAGTGCAGCTTTTGGCAAGTTGGACTATTTTTTCCTTTTGCATGAAGACATATGCAAAGAATGAGTTGTGTAGTTCCACTTTCTCCCTGCTATCTGTCAACTCCTTGCCATCTTCTCCAATTAGTGGACCAAAGATTTCCTTGACTTTTTTTCTTGTTTCTTACATATTAAATTTTTAAAATGATTTTTTGTATTTGTTGCATGCCTTAATTCATCCCGAGCCTTAGGTTTCCTGACTATCCTTGCTGATTTAGGCTATTTACTGGTATTCTGCGTTAGTTATCTGTCCCTTTTTCCACTTTTAATACTTGTCCTTTTTTCTTTGTTTTCTGGAGAGATCTTTAGGCAACCATGCTGGTTTTATCTGGTTTTCTTGTTTTTTTCCCCTCTGTGTTATTGTGTTAGATTGTGCTTTTGTAATCTTATTTTTCAGTTTCCCGAGCATGTTAAGTCATTTTCCCCTTTAGGATTTCCATCCATTGAATCTTTCTTAAACTCTTAGTTTATTGAAGTCAGTTCTCTTAAAGTCTAACACACTAGTCTGACTTTGTTCACTTACTTGTGCCTGCATTATATTAAATTCCAATATCACCATAGTCACTCTCCCCCAAAGCTCCTTTTACTTCAACCCCTTCTATTATTTCAATTCTGTTAGTAAGAATTTCCACTATAGCTGACCTTCTAGTTCCCTCCTCTACATTTTGGATGAGAAAACTGTTAGCTAGCCTCGTCAAGAATCTACTTACTGCAGAATTTGTCTCCCATTTGATGTCAGAGTAGCTACTACTGTGGTGCATGCCAATTACAAAAAGTTCCATCTTTTTCTTCTGCTTGGTCGCATGGCCTGTGGTCTACATCTATGGCAATGTCATTCTTTTTTTCCTTTTATATTAACATAAATGCATGCAAGGCTTTCATCCTTTTTTATGCATTTCTCTAGGGGTGTGGTGATTTCTTACATATAATGCAACTCCACCTTCTTTGGGTTAGGTCTGTTTCTTTTAAACTATTTGTATCCTTCTAGCACAGACATGTCAAACAGAAGGCCCGGGGGCCGGATGCGGCTCGCAAAGTGGTTTCATGTGGCCCCCGAACCCATCCTGGAAACAGTGAGAGAACGGCTCCTGCTGCCTTGGCCCTGGCCCAGGCTAGCCGGGAGCCAATGTACAATTTTGTGGTGGCCATCTTGGCACTTGCCCCGATGGACCATGCCTTGGCACTTGCCCTGGTCCCACCCCCTTCTGCCAGAGACCCTCAGATCTGTCCCACTCCTGACTAGGCCCCCACAGGCAACCGCAATGCTGATGTGGCCCTCAGTGAAATGGAGTTTGACACCCCTGTTCTAGCAGTACATTCAGATACCAAGTTTCAGTAATGGCAGCAATATCAGCAGAACTTAGAATGGAATCAAAGGAGTAAATTGCATTCTCATTTCCTTGTAATTCTCTACATTTTCTTTTTCACTCCCCTATCACTTCTTCCACTGTTTATGATCATAGTGTTTATTAATACATCATGCTGCTATTAAAGCAAAGGATAATTGGAGAAGAGGCATGCATATGAGCTGTCTGGCCAATACCCACTTTGCATTCTCATTATAAATTGACAAGTGATAACTGCATCTCTAAGTATTTTTAGATATATCTCCATCTCTAAATATGCTCGTATCCAACTCTCATTTCCATCTACCAGAGTTGGGACGACCATGGTCTTATAGCTAGCCCTATTCTTTCAACAAACAATTATTTTTGCACATTATTTTTTTCACTACATTTCCAAGATGTAATATCTTTCTATCTGCATTCTTACCTTTGGTAAACTTTCTACCAACATAAATAAGCAACTACTTATAAATAAAAATCATTAAACAAGGGGATAGCAAACAAGCTTGTTTTATTCCCTATCAATGCTGAACCCTTTATTAAACATTTCATTCCATAATATTTGGTGGACTACATGCCCACAGCATGGTATGATTCTGAACATCACTTTCTAAATGCCTTACAAATCGAAATAAATCTCTTCCAGCTCCAGCTGATAACTTTACACCAACAAACAGATAGGATGTAAACTTGGAAATGATGGAGAGGTTATTGAACTCTACGCAAACAGCGGATGCTTACTCTGGGTTTGCTGAATTAGATACAGAAATATCAATTCCTGATTTATCAGTTCATGCACCTGAGTAAGAAGAATTAACCAGCTTTGAGATAATGGTTAAACTATAAAGACTCTAGTGTATGGGTTTCCAAGTTGGCACAATAGGGATTTATAAGGAATTGAAAAATATTAAAAGTCAAATCTCCAATTTCAAAAGAATTGAAAACCTAATTCTTTTTCATGAAACCAACTTGAAGAATTCAGTAGCAAAGTGCTACTCAATCTCATGCTAAAATAACTACATATTTGGGAAACTGGAATGGTTAGTTCAAGCACAGTTCATGAAAAAAAAGTTAAAGGTAAAAATGTTTTATCTATGTTTTATTTGGAAAACTTTTTGAAAGATCTTTTTCCACTTCCAAATAAATTCAGACTTAAAATACAAGGTGCCTATGGATTCCATTTGATATTGATTGGCTCCACTTAATTTCCTAAGATCTTTGCATTTGTGATCATATCAGGCAGTGTTTAAGGCAAAGCCCACTGCTGGAATACAAAGGATGTAAACGGATGGTTTATCCTGACCTTGTGGTTCAGGCTGTAAATTGCAAAGAAACTTCAATGACATTTGTTGCCTGAGAAGTTTTTTTCTCTTTTCTGCAATCTTCTGCCTTTCTATAAGAGAGGAGATTTGCAGATCTGTCAGCAGCTATAAAATTTATGAATGTGCTAAGAATTTCTGATGTATGATTTGGTTTCCAACCTCTAAGACCCTAAGGGGATAAAAAGGAATTTTATTTTATTTTTCATTTCCCAGTTCGTTAAGGTGGGTCATTAGTGAAGCAGACATGAACCAAGAGCAGCCTTAATTGGTACAATTGAGGTTCTACCTTAGGATTCCGCAATTGGAATTATGGTAAGCCTTACAAATTGATATCTACTCCCTCTATTTTGCCTCTAGAACTTCCATTGGGGCCTAAAGAAATGCAGAAGACTCTAGCAGTTCTTCAGCTGATCATTTTCAAGTGTATTTTTTCTAGTCAGATACTATGGGAATGATCCCTTAAAGTACAGTTCACCTACTGATTCCCTTTTATGCCACTGCTTCTTCCAGCCTCAATCCTAGAGTCTACCAGCTAATCAAAGCTCTGTTATTCTGCTTGCTCCATCTGAGAATTCTTCTAAATGAGAGTAAACTTGTTAATTGTAAATTGGAAGGCATGGTGGTTAAATAGACATATAACTAACTTGAAAATTGTATTCAAAAATACTCATCAATCATCTACAATGTACCTGAAGGAAGGTATCAAGGGATTGATCAAGTGGAACAGTCTTTCATAATTATTGTTACATGATACTCACCTAACCATTCGTTGAATTTTTTAACTTCACTAGGAAGTCCCAGTTCAGTGAAATCACCAGCATGAATTAAAACATCTCCATAAGGCATTTGAATTGGATCTGTTCTGGAGTGAGTATCAGACACACAAACAAAACGAGTGTATCCTGGAGCTCTTGGAGCATCATGTGGAACAGGATCTACCCTACGTATAAAGTTTGGGACACAAATATAGATGTTTTATGTTACATTCACATATCTAGTTGATAGCCACAATATAAAATTTGCTTTCAGCGTATTTGAAAAACAAGTTAAATATTCAGCTTAGCCGCACATATTTCAATTCCAAGAGTTTTCACCAATTCTTAGACAAAATAGCCACTTATAACTATGTTTAAACTTTTCCTAATAAAAGGCACTTTCTCAGTTAGGTTTTACACCCAAAGAAGTTCATTGGCAGACTGCCTTTAAATGTTTTAAATTTAAATACAGTTTAAAAATACACATTGTGGGACTTCCGGTGGCAGGCGTCTTCGTGGGTCGCAGCTGTTTGCTGCCTCCCGCCTGTTTCGCGTAAAAGCCGGTTTGACAGCTAGCATCAGCTGTCAAACGGCTTGATACCTTTCCCCTGGGCATAAGGGGATAGGTGAGCTGCCCGGGGTAGGAGTTGAGTTCCTGAGTCGTCCTATATGGACGATGTAGGTGAGAACTCCTCCGGAGCCCCGAGGATTCTCCGCGATCCAGGACGCCTTCGCTTCGGCGAAGCTAGAAGCCGCCGCCACTGCTGCAACTTAAAGTTAACTGTGAGTTTTATTTGTAAGCAGACGAACCAACCTTGGAAGTTTGTTTTTTATATTGGACTTTACTCTAACTTGG